TATAATTTGATTTTGGAAAGTTTGTCAAATATCAAAGGTTATCACAGGTCATTGTAAAATAAATCATTCATTTAACCAATGACAACTCAAGGATTGAAAAAAAAAAAGCAAAAACCTTCATTCTTTGAGAGAGGAGACTTAATTTTCCAAACAATAAGCCCTAATAAAAACGGCATGAAGCCAATTAAATATAACTTCCATAAGCCTTTATAACTTTTATTAAGGAGTCAGTTAATGCTTCAAGAAAACCTTGTTTCTCCTGCTATGTTTTTCAGCTCCATCGAGTCATTTAAAAAAAAAAAGAAAACCTTGTTAATCTGACACAGGGGCCCAAATGCTGGTCTTGCATCCATGTGCCTTTGACATTAATGATTAATTTATAGAGAAACTGAACTTATTTTCTCTCTCAAGATCAGCCTTTACAATCTCATATGCCTACCTCTTCCTTGATAGTCCCTGGGCCTTGAGGAGTTGAATAGCTTTAATTTCCAGCCCTGTGCTTCAAGAATGCAGTTTACTTTGATCAGCATCTTCTACAAGGCCTGAAGATGGGGCTTCAATTGCTGTCAGTGTTTAATATTTAGCAAGACTTGGTGTCTTTCTTAGACCCAAGAGCCAAAGCTCTGTAACTCAATGTTGCAAGTATTTTAAAAGTGAATATAGACAGATACATGGATGTAATAACCTTAATTAAAAATTTTTTAAATGTTTTTTTCCTAGGCAAACCAAAACTTAGTAATAATGTGACAACTTGATCATATAAAAGATTTTTTTTTTTTTTAAACAGACTCTTGTTCTGTCACCCAGGCTGAAGTGCAGTGGCAAAATCTTGGTTCACTGCAAACTCTGCCTCCTGGGTTCAAGTGATTCTCCTGCCTCAGCCTCCCTAGCAGCTGGGATTACAGGCACCTGCCACCTGCCCATCTAATTTTTGTGTTTTCAGTAGAGATGAGGTTTCATCGTGTTGGCCAGGCTGGTCTCGAACTCCTGACCTCAGGTGATCCGCCCACCTCAGCCTCCCAAAGTGCTGGGATTACAAGTGTGAGCCACTGTGCCTGGCAAAAGTTTTTGGCTTTATTTTTATTTTATTTTTTGAGATGGAGTCTTGCTCTGTCGCCCATGATGGAGCACAGTGGCATGATCTTGGCTCACTGCAACCTCTGTCTCCTGGCTTCAAGTGATTCTCCTGCCTCAGCCTCCTGAGTAGCTGAGATTACAGGCACCCACCACCACGCCCGGCTGATTTTTGTATTTTTAGTAGAGATGTGGTTTTACCATCTTGGCCAGGCTGGTCTTGAACTCCTGACCTCATGATCCACCTGCCTTGGCCTTCCAAAGTGCTGGAATTATAGGCGTGAGCCACCATGCCCGGCCGTTTTTGTCTTTAAAAAAATAAATAAATCCTCTTATTGTAACTTACACAGACTGTTTATGAAATGCGTGGACTTTCTGGTTTGTCCTAAACATGCTTCCTTCTTGAAAAACCAGTCATTTTACTTTAGGACTAAATTTACCATACATGATTCTTTCTCATATGAAATTATTTCTCTTTAAGCTTTCTTACCAAAAAACAAAATAAAAAACTTCCTTGTTTTTATAACTTCCTTTACATTTCTTTTATTTCCTGGTTCCTTTTACCTTGTTTTATGCAAGACTTCTAAATAATCTTTTTTTTTTTAGAGACACCAGGCTGGAGTGCAGGGGTGCAATCTTGCCTGGCCTGTTCACCTTTTGTTAAAGAACAGGTTTTTTTTTTTTTTTTTTTTTTTGAAAGAATGTTTTCTGGCTGGGTAAGGTGGCTCATGCTTGTAATCTCAGCACTTTGGGAGGCTGAGGTGGGCAGATCACCTAAGGTCAGGAATTTGAGACCAGCCTGGCCAACATGGTGAAACCCCATCTCTACTAAAAATACAAAAGTTAGCCAGGTGTGGTGGTATGCACCTGTGGCGTAGTCCCAGCTACTTGGGAGGCTACAGCAGGAGAATCACTTGAACCTTGGAGGCAGAGGTTGCAGTGAGTCGAGATCATGCCACTGCATTCCAGCCTGGGAGACAAAGTAAGACTCTATCTCAAAAAACAAAACAAAACGAAACAAAACCAAGAAACTTGCCTTCTACACCCCCTCATTACCTTAACTGCAAACATTTCTGTGGACTTCAACTCTTTAGGCAGAATTTAACCCTTTCAACCAGTTGCCAATCAGAAATTTTTAAATCCACCTATGACTGGCAAGGTGCCCCTTGTGAGATGTCCTGACTTTCTGGGCGGAATCAATGTGCACCTTGCCTGTATTGACTTATGTCTCTGATTGTAACTTCTGTCCCCTTAAAATGTATAAAATCAAGCTGTAACCCAACCACCTTGGGCACATGTTCTCTGGATCTCCTGGGGCTATGTCATGGGTCATGATCCTCACATTGGCTCAGATATTTTAGAGTTCAGCTTCTTTTGTCATCAACACAAGTATCATCAGTGTGAAATATAGCATTTATTTTAGGAGCTAGACTTAGATTGCAGATCTAAAGTAACAATTGGCATGTCCTTGTTTTATAGGAGGATATACATCTTGAAAGGGTTCAAAGCCTGTACAGAACAATCTGTGAGGGCAGTCATCTAAGGATGCCTGAGGCCTTTTTCCTTTCCCTGGGGGTCTGGGGTCTGGCTAATGCATAATGCTTTGACACAAGGCTGTGAAGTAACAGAAATTCATTTGAGGCTGGGTGTGGTGGCTCATGCCTGTAATCCCAGCACTTTGGAAGGCCAAAGCGGGCAGATCATGAGGTCTGGAGATCCAGACCATCCTGGCTGACATGGTGAAACCCCACCTCTACTAAAAAATACAAAAATTAGCTGGATGTGGTGGCACGTGCCTATAATCCCAGCTACTCGGGAGGCTGAGGCAGGAGAATCGCTTGAACCCAGGAGGCAGAGGTTGCAGTGAGCCCAGATTGTGCCACTATCTCCAACCTGGGAGATAGAGTGAGACTCCGTCTCAAAAAAAAAAAAAAGAAAAGAAATTGCTTATAGCCATTTGGGAAAGGGGGGCAATGTTTTGTGACTCAGTCTCCAGGCTTAACTTTCCCTTTGGCATAAGTTTGGGGGTCCTGAGATGTTTGGGATCCTGAGATGACCCCCAGCTGAGGTCACTGCAGGCTAGCCAACCACCAATGGATCCCAAGGCCATCACACCAATGGATCCCAAGGCCATCACAGCTGGCTAGCTGACCTGCAGCTGACCACACACACAAGGGAGCACAGCTGCAATCACCCACGCTTTTCCTTTCCCTATGTGTCCTACTGCCTGTGGTTGCTTTCATGCTTCAGTGTCATGGTTGAGTGTTTGTACCCTCAAAACCTCAAATATTTACTATCTGGTCCTTCTCAAAAAAAAAAGCTTGCAGATCCTGCCAAAGCATCTTTGAAGAACAAGTTTCACAGAGCAGCTTTCTGGTGTGAAACTGGGTGAATTAATGGCCCCCATTCTTATTCTCCCTGTATCCAGTCCTGTGGCCTTGAAACTTTGTAGTACTTTTGAGATACAGACAGGGCTTGGCTTTAGCTTACCCCCACTACAGCATCCTTTCACTACAGCATCCCCACTGACCGCAAAACCCATGCCTCTACCTTGCTGACGTACCCACTAAGGCCAAGGCTTTGGTCATACAAAGGAAATGGCCATTTTGTGTTCTTCCTATGCTCTCACAATGTTTAACCAGGACTTTTACTTAAAGAATTCTGGGTGCTGGGCACAGCAGCTCACGCCTGTAATCCCAGCACTCTGGGAGGCCAAGGCAGGCGGATCACGAGGTCAGGAGACGAAGACCATCCTGGCAAACATGGTGAAACCTGGTATCTACTAAAAATACAAAAATTAGCTGGGTGTGGTGGTGCGCACCTGTAGTCCCAGCTATTCGTGAGGCTAAGACAGGAGAATCGCTTGAACCTGAAAGGCAGAGGTTGCAGTGAGCCGAGATCGCGCCACTACATTCCAGCCTGGGCAACGAAGAGCAAGATTCTGTTTCAAGGCCGGGCGCGGTGGCTCAAGCCTGTGATCCCAGCACTTTGGGAGGCCGAGGCGGGTGGATCACGAGGTCAAGAGATCGAGACCATCCTGGTCAGCATGGTGAAACCCCGTCTCTACTAAAAATACAAAAAATTAGCTGGGCATGGTGGCGCATGCCTGTAATCCCAGCTACTCAGGAGGCTGAGGCAGGAGAATTGCCTGAACCCAGGAGGTGGAGGTTGCGGTGAGCCGAGATCGGGCCATTGCACTCCAGCCGGGAAAAAAAGAGAAAACCCCCGTCTCAAAAAAAAAAAAAAAAAAAAAAAAGATTCTGTTTCAAAAAAATAAATAAATAAAATAGAATTCCAGGAGCTGGCCTTAGGAGATTCAAAATAACAAACCAACATTGTGTGTGGAGTGTCCCTCCTCAGGAACGAATACAGACTTGCTGCCATTGGCCAGACCACCTGGCAGTCCATTATTTAAGACGACCCTCACAACCAGATGCTGAGCTGCACACCCTACCCCTCATGTGCTTTGCCCAGCCCAGCCTACCTGCCCAACTCAAGGTCAATTCCAGCGCTTTGCCTAAGAAAAAAATCCCTGCAGGCTTTCTCCGGAGTCAGTGAGGGAACTCTCTTTCACTTGCGTTGTGTCCCTTATGCCCAGGCCTAAGCTCCAGTGAAGCCTTGTCTGGGCAAACTCTTTTAGCCTCATGTCAGTTTCTATAGCAGAGTCTAAGAACTTGTGGTTGGTGGGCCGGATGTAGTGGCTCACGCCTATAATCCCGGCACTTTGGGAGGCTGAGACAGGTGGATCACTTGACGTCAGGAGTTCGAGACCAGCCTGGCTAACAAGGTGAGACTCCTCTACTAAAAATACAAAAAAAAAAAAAAAAAATAGCCACGTGTGGTGGCAGGCGCCTGTAGTCCCAGCTACTTCGGAGACTGCGGCAGGAGAATCGCTTGAACCCAGGAGGTGGAGGTTACAGTGAGCTGAGATCATGCCACTGTACTCCAGTCTGGGCGACATGGCAAGACTCCATCTCAAAAAAAAAAAACAACAAAAAAAGGAACTTGTGGTTCCCACTTTGCTTCTGGGCTCAGAAGTCTAAGAGACACAATACAAGCACAGGCTTGAAATGTAGTTGCATACTGGGGCTTGTTCTTCTCATTCTCTGCCACGGTTGTGTGAGCAGATCCAGGCTCGTCTGCAGGAGGCAAATCCTGTCAACCAGAGCTGAGTACCCTGTCACTCCAGCTGAGGTCACTGCAGGCTCGCCAACCACCAATGGATCCCAAGGCCATCACAGCTACCTAGCAGACCGGCAGCTGACCACACACACAAGCGAGCGCTCTGAAATCACCCACTCAGCCCAGGTCAGCAGAACCCCAAGATAGAGAGCCAGACAGCTATTTATTGCTGTGTGCCCCTGAACTTTGGTGGTGGTCAGTTACACTGTAGAAACAGAAATAGAAGCTGGACATGGTGGCTCACGCCTGTAATCCCAGCACTTTGGGAGACCAAGGCAGGCGGATTGCCTGAGATCGGGAGTTCAAGACCAGCCTGACCAACATGGAGAAAGCCCATCTCTACTAAAAATACAAAATTAGCCAGGCATGGTGGCACATGCCTGTAAGCCAGTTACTCAGGAGGCTGAGGTGGGAGAATCACTTGAACTGGGAGGCAGAGGTTGCGGTGAGCCAAGATTGTGCCATTGCACTCCAAGCTGGGCAACAAGAGCGAAAATCTGTCAAAAAATAGAAAAGAAAAAGAGATAGAAAACTGACTGATACTATAAACATAGGAATTTTAAGAATTTCTTTTGCCAAAACTGGCTAAGGAATATTTTTATTCTTCTGAGGGCAGTTAAGGCTTCTGATAAGGAGAGTCTGAACAGAGCACAGAAATCTGAAACTCCAAGAGTGGGGGATGTGGCATCAGATTCCATCCTGAATTTCTGCTGAAATACTTTGTACTCATAATGGAACTCAATTAAGATCTGTAGTTCATCTGTGGCTCAATCTTCCCTCTGGGTCAAGTAGATGCTAAGTTAGACCTTGGCACGCCTCTTAACCATGAGACAGAGAGGCTCCACCATTTACGGAACAAGAATTCAATTTATTCTCTTTATAAAATGTTTTTAAAAAGTGCCTTGGGTATAAAAATCTAAATGTCTGCGGTGGGATCGGTCAGGAGCACGGAACTTTCACTCTTCGCATCCTTTGGTCACTTGTGTGTAGTGCAAGGAAAGTGGGGGCTGGGAGCTCCTTCTGTCCCAGGCTAAACGACGAGCTTCACAAGGGTAAGAGCCACAGAACCCTCGGCAAGAAAGAAGGGTCAGGGAAAATGAATGGTACCTAGAGGAAGGGAAGGAAAGGGGGTTGGACAGAGGGAGGAGGCAAGGAAGGGATGCTGTACTGGAGACTGATGGGGAACACTCTAATTTGCAAGAGGGAGGATCTTCCTTTTTGAAGGTGAACACAACTGGTCTGAACCCTCCTTGGAAAGTCCAGCTGTTGACCCATGCATAGGGCAAACTCTCCCTGCAGAGCAGCAAATGTGGCTTCTATCAGGAAGGAAAAGCATCCATCAGTGTGACAAGAGGTCACCTTCGAACTTGCATGAACTCCTTGCGCAGCCACAAAGAGTCCTGGTAGAAGCGAGGGTCGCCTAGTCTCACGGCTGTCCGTTTATAGAAGTAGCAGTACAACACTGCTGCTGCGGGAGGAAGCAGAAGAGAAGCCTCAGGGGTGCTGCTGAGTATCACTTCCGGGTAGACAGAACCTAATGAGGCTGAGCAGCCCTGCCTCCTGACTTCCCATGGTTTCCCAGCACGGGCAGAGGCAGAAATCCCTCCTGTTCCTAGTGTGGCTGTTGCAACCGTTGCAGGCCAACTGGGACAGGGCTGGGAAGCCAGAATCAAGGCCCTCAGTGAAAGAGACACACATGGGACCCAAGAGAGGCCTGACCCTGCTCTGGTCCTTACCTACTCTCTGGAATACAAACAGCGTTTGAAGTCCATCTGTCCATATGAAGCTGTTGGAGTTTTTCCAGCGTAAGTTCTGAAGGTGATATGAGGAGACACAGAAAGGTTAATGGCCACATGAGGCCCCAATATCTCCAACTTGGTTAGCTGCAGAGATGCCAGTTGGTTTAAAATCGTGCTAACCTCTCCCTCCTTCCTCCCAACAAGTGTTTCTTGAAGGAGCGTCAAGCTCCCTTTTTTGCTGCAAAGGGAATATCCTTCTAACTTTGAGAGAGGAAGCATGAACTAAGTTATTTATCCTCTTTCATTCCATAACCTTTGCCAAGGAGAAACGATATACTCATTATCTCAGGAGTTCAGCTGGTCACTGTCTTGCCTGGAAAATCGCTGGCTCAGCTCCTGTCAGATAAAGCCTTTGGGGGACTCAGGGTTTAATGAGATTAACGGCTTTATAGTATAAAGCCAGGACCTATTTTGGCTCCAAGCACAGAATCCTCTTGAGGAAGCACCCAGAGACTCTGGTATTGCTCTGCTTGTTTCCGGGGAGCTCTACTTCTCTCTGTAGAATCACAAGCGCAACCTAATCGGGGGTCTGGGTGTGAAGGTGGCTTTCATAATGAAGTGACTAGAGAACCCTGAGGTTTTAATGGGTTCAACTGAAATGAGAACATGAGAAACATATGAGATACCCAAAGGGCTGGAAAAATCTGTGAAGCAGAAGAAATCTGAAACCATGGACACTGGATCTGATCTGATGCCAAGGGAAGCATCTTGGAGGTTGGTTCTCCTAGTTAAAGTGATGGGAACTCAGCAGAGGGCAGGGAGCACTCAAGGGCGAGCAGCAATCCTGCTTGGCTACTTCCTAGAAACATCCAGTGCCTGCAGAATTAACCACGGGGCACTGATGCCTAAGAATAACCTGTGTCAACATCCACCTGCCCATATAGCTCATGATGAAACACATTCAACTACGTGTTTTAGCCCTGGTAGGCCTGTTTGGGGCAAAGGTGAACTGAACGTTCTGGAAGAGACCCGTGACTCTTGGACAAGGCTATTTTTCAACACATAAGGTTAGTCAAGAGTACCTTATGAAACTCTCACATGCCGAGAGCTCCAGCCCAGACCACTTTCATTTCACCTGTTTCCTATGAAGGATCATGTCAGATGTCAAAGAATGAAGCTGGGTTCCCAGAGAAAAGATATCCCTACCCTTTTAGGGATTCAAGAATTCAGAGTTCAGGCCTGGCACAGTGGCTCACCCCTGTAAATCCACCACTTTGGGAGGCAGAAACAGGAGAATCACTTGAGCTCAGGAGTTCAAGATCAGCCTGAGTAACGTGGTAAGACCCCATCTGTTTAAAATACAAATTAAAAAAAGAATTCAGACTTCCAGTCTTACCATGACCCAGACATGAAGGGAGATGCTGAGGGCAAAGTACACAGCTGTCAGGATGATGGTCCCTTTGAACTTATGGAACAGGAGGTTGACCAGGCCAGCCTGGAAGACGAAGGTGTTGAAGAACATCAGGAAAATGATGATGATGTTGAAGAGGATTGCAATATCCTGGATGCTGCAGACATAAGAAAAAGTACAACCGTGGAGGCCTGCATGAGGACCCAAGAGCAGGCCCTATGTCCTGAGGGACACCACAAGGCCTGTCCTTTCCTGTGAGATAGGCATCTGATATCTTAAACCCTTGCACAGATAACAAATGACATGAAGCTAAAATTACCTGAAATTACCCACTGGCTCCATCAGTTGGGTTGCAGTCCACAGACAAGGCTTTCCTGCTCTGATGCTCTTTTTATTTTTAAAAATTTCTTCCATACCTATTCCTGTAGAAGGTTCTCTAGCTATTTTTTTTTTTTTTTTTTTTTTTTTTTTGAGACAGTGTCTCATTCTGTTGTCCAGGCTGGCGTACAGTGGCATGATCATAGTTCACTGCAGCCTCAACTTTCTGGGCTCAAGTAATCCTCCCACCTCACCCTCCTGAGTAGCTAGGACCACAGGTGTGTGCCACTATACTCAGCTAATTAAAAAAAATTTTTAGCTCATGCCTGCAATCCCAGCACTCTGGGAAGCCAAGGTGGGTGGATCACTTGAGGTCTGGAGTTCGAGACCTGCCTGGCCAATATGGCAAAATCCAGTCTCTACTAAAAATACAAAAATTAGCCAGGCATGGTAGCGCATACCTGTATTCCCAGCTACTGGGCAGGCTGAGGCAGGAGAATTGCTTGAACTCAGGGGGCGGAGGTTGCAGTGAGCCGAGATTGTGCCACTATACTCCAGACTCTGTCTCAAATAAAAAAAAAATTTTCTTTTTTAGTAGAAACGAGGTCTTAGCATGTTGCCCAGGCTATCTGACACTCTTAACATATTAATAATAAACCTACTAGGCACTTTTGAAAAGCTGGTTTCTGCCGGGCGCACTGGCTCATGGCTGTAATCCCAGCACTTTGGGAGGCTGAGGCAGGCAGATCACAAGGTCGAGTTCAAGATCAGCCTGGCCAATATGGTGAAACTCGTCTCTACTAAAAATACAAAAATTAGCCAGGCATGGTGGTGGGTGCTCGTAATCCCAGCTGCCCGGGAGGCTGAGGCAGGAGAATCACTTGAACCCGGAAGGCAGGGGTTGCAGTGAGTCGCACCACTGCACTCCAGCCCTGGGCAACACAGCAGGACTCT